GCTTACCACTAGCAATGTTGAAATGCCAACAGTGATCCTGGGAGACCCAGCCTACCCCTTGCTCCCATGGCTCATGAAGCCATACACCAGCACCCTGACAGCACCAAGGAGTGCTTCAACTATAGGCTGAGCAGGTGCAGAATGACAGTTGAACGTGCCTTTGGGCGTTTGAAGGGTTGCTGGCGCTGTCTACTCAAGAGATTGGACCTCAGGGAAAAAAATATTCCAATGGTTATAGCTGCTTGCTGTGCCCTACATAGTATCTGTGAAGCAAAGTGGAGATGGAGCAGCTGTCTGCTGATTTTGAGCACCCAGATACCAGGGCTATAAGAAGAGCTCAACATGGAGCTATACGGCTTAGGGAGGCTTTGAAAGACCATTTTAATAGTGAGCCAGAGTAGAGAGTGTTCTACCTGTCTTTGCTCTTTTGCAGCCCTGTATGAACCATTTAGTGAATTCTGTGTGTGAAATAATATAACATTGCCAATGCACCGATTAATACGGTCGGTGAATGATGTCAGCACCACTTAGCATATGTTGAGAACTAATACACGTGAATTATGTTTCCCAAAACACCTTTATTCCACAATGATGCAAATAGAAAAAACATTTTTAACTTAAACTTAATAAATTAAGGAAAAAGAACTTATGATGGGGAAAGAACAGTCATTTCCATTTCAAATTCACATACACCAACCATGTCTTTCCCAGGTCAGCATAGTGCAGCTGTGAATGTCTTTAATGTTCCCAGCCCAACGCCACACAGAATGTTGAGGGGCAGGGGGCACAGAGAGTTCCCGGTATGCAGTTCTCTATGGGCTGCAGAGAGAAGCGAGCATAGGATTGTTGAACCTGCAGATCCACCAGAGTCTGCAGCATGGCTGTTTGCTGCCTGAGAAGCGCAAGCATCTCCAGCAGCACGTCCCTCTCCTTTTCCTGCAGCTCTCTTCTCCACCCTATCCCTCTCCATGCTGTCTGCAATGGTGATCCTCCAAGCCCTGTGCTTTTATCGGAGGCAGCAGAGGGTTGCAGGATCTCTTGGAACATGTCACCCCAAGTCCTTTTCCTTCTTCTCTTTATCTTGCTTGTCCGTTCTGCTGGTGTGGATGGAGAAACCCTCACGGCCACATTTGCAGCTGCTGAAGATACAATATACAGAAATACCATTGTCAGTGTATTCATGAGATAAAACAAAATTCAGGAGGCTGAACTCACTCCCTTTGATCCACACAAGTTGTTAGCACTACAGTCTCACTTCTCATTGGGATTTATACAGCATGAGCCATGGTGAGCACAGCCCTGGGGTGGGGGGCAAATTGGGGAAATGAGGGGAGACGGCTCACAGGCATGAGTATGCGTGTATAGGGCAAATGAACTGAATATTGGCACCACTTTCCACAGGCAGTGGTGACTATAGCTGACCTCTCACCCCTGAGGGTAATGGGTGAGAGGGACCCTATGCTGCTAGCCTGTAAGCTGCAATGGTTCCCACTCAAGTAATTGCTACGGGGCATGGGAAAGCGTCCTACCACAGGAGAAGAAATAAGGCAGCCCTCCCCAGAAACCTACAGCAGAGGATTGCAGACAAACTCCAGGAAAGTTTCATAGAGATATCTGTGAAGATTCATGGCACATCCTGGTGCACATAAATAGTGTGTTCCGCGGGGCCCCCTCTGCCTAACTGTCGAGGGGGATGAGAAGCAGACAATTACTCTTCCTCTATTATTTGTTTCACTACCTCTTCTAGAGTAAGAGTAAATCAATAGATGTATACTGCTATTTTGTGGGTTCCATCCCTGTAATTTCAAAGAAAACAGCATACTTACCAGAGGTTCTTTCCCCTGCATCAGGATCGACTGTGCTGGACTGTAGGGACTGGCCGGACTGCGCTGGAGTCAAAAACATGTCCTCGTTTGCTGAGCAGCTGCCTCCCCCAATCACCTGTCCCCCACATTCTACTCCTCCTCCACTTCCTCATCCAACACCTCCTCTTCGCTGTTCTCTGGCTCCTCCGAAGTATCCATAGGGCTCTTGGGAGTGATGGTGGAGTCTCATCTAAGGATGGCATGCAGCTCTTTGTAAAAGCAAGTTTGTGGCTATGCACCAGAGCAATTGTTAGTTTCCCTTGCCTTCTGGTACACCTGTTGCAGATCCTTGGCTTTCACATAGCTCTGCTTTTCGTCCCTCTTGTAGCCGTTCTCCTCCATGCCCCAAGTGATCTGCTCGTAGATGTCGATGTTTCTATGGCTGCATCTGAGCTGTGCAAAACCTCTTCTCCCCACAGACCCAGGAAATCCACCATCTCCTGTTTTCTCCAGGCGGGGGAGCATCTGCAGCATGTAGTCAGCGTGGTCAGCAAGGCAGTTGCTAGGTGTACTCTCCAAGCCAGGCAACCAGGAAATGGAATTTCAAAAATTCACAGGGCTTTAAAGGAGAAAGGCAGTTCTCTGGCCAGCTGGCTGCTTGGCAGCAGAGTTCACACTGGTGACCAGAGTGGTCAGGGTGGGGCATTGTGGCATACATCAACTGTTATTGGCCTCCAGGAGGTAAGTAACACAATGTCTACACTGACACTGCAACAATCTAACTACATCGGCCGTGACTCTACGCCACCGGGGGAGGTGATTTTATTAAGTTGGCATAACAGGGCAGTTACGTGGGCGGGAGCGAAATGTAAGTGTATACACATACATAGCTATGTCAATGTAAGCTGCCTTGCATCCAATTAACTGTGTAATGTAGACCAGGAATAAATCCTTGCACAAGCTTACAGAATCATATCAGTTTTGTCTTGCAGATTCTATTTTAAAAGGCAGCAAGAGAGAGACAGGCTCTGATCTGGTTGCACAAGAAAAATATGAGGTGGCAAGGGAACATCTTCATACCCCCAAAACAGTGAAGGCAAGAGAGAAATTCAGACTATCCACCTCATATGCACACATAGCCCCCACGCTAACAAAAAATGGGATGGGGAGAAGACAGAAAAAAGATAAGGAGACAAGAGGTGGAATCCTGCACAAACAGCATGAGATCCTGTTTTCGGCTTTGTTTTCACTGAGGGATAACTAACACACATCAGCTATACCGCTGCAAAAACCTAGTCGAGACAAGGCACTGGAGTTTTTATTGTGAAGTAAATAGGTGAGGTCAGCCACAAACGGGGGTACAGCATTGACCATGACTTTTTACCTTGCAGGTAAAACTACAATGCGCCCTGTCTCCACTAGCTATATTTCTGTAACATCCTAATGTGTATTAGTTATCCCACAGTAACAATGCACTTTATTTTGGGGCAATGAAGCCAAAGCCTCTGTGACTAAACAAAGGCCCCTTACTTACCTCGACTCCTCCAACAATGCCTGAAAGCAGCAAGCATATGCAGCATGCCCAGCTTTTTGAACTGGTTAGTCCCCAAGGTGTTGAACTGTTGGGGAACAGCCAATGCCTACTGTTAACTAGATGTTTGCTACTGTAGGCTCAATTGACATACTATGTACGGTGTAACAGTTTAATGCAGAGACAATAAGTCTATGACCAATTCAATTAGGTAAAAAGTAATAGAGTTTGTCATAAGAACCCTACAGGCAAAGGAAACTCAGAGGAGGCTGCTCTTGTGTTTCTAGTCCCGCTGTACTTAAATATCCTAGAATAAACAGACACACAGCTTAGAGTTCACAGGAGAGTTACTGGGGATTCAATTCTTCTGGGCCACAACAAGATCTTTTTCACTGTAACTTGCTTTATGCTCTGGACTTGAAAAATTACCACACTTAACCGCCAGAGAACTAAACCCACTGACCAGAAATCACTTCAAAAGTCAAATGTGCGCACACACAAAAATTCCCACCACCAAGTTGCAGACATTCAGAGGCAATAAGTCTAATTCCATGTCTTAGTGCTGGGATTATTAGGAGGTTGTCCCCAGCAGGATACACACAGTTCATGCTTTGCATCAGTATCGCCTGGGTGCCTGATAACTTTGAAATCTTCCTGTCCCCATCTGAATGCTGGAAGGAAGTTTTCTCCATCTTCAACCCAAAAGCTGCCTCATTACAGTGAAGGGGAGCTTCTCAGCTATTCTATCAACCCCATCATCATTTGGGGCACCCCAGTTCCTGCCTCTAGTGTTGTTCTTCGGTTTCAAAACAGCAGCTCTGTGAAGTTCCCTCATCTGCGCCATGCATTTTTATCGCCAGATATTCCTTTCGTCAATGGCATCTCCCACCTACACTCTCTTCAAGCTCAGCTAAAGTAATGCCAAAAATAAACAGTTTCTAAAAAGCTGCTTTAATTTGCATTCTTCTGGAACTAACATTAAGACAATCTGGTATCTTGCCTCTCACTAATCTCCAGTCTTTTAGGAAATCAAATGGAGGCCTGACAAAAAGCAACAGAAAAAAAACATTTCAGCTAGACAATTCATTTTGAAATTCTTTTTTAAAACTTGGGAGTGAAAAAAATTGGTCCTATGCAGAGACCCTGGAGGAATCTAAGACACATTCCACTTAAAAAATGATCAATTTCAAGCAGTGCACTAAAACTTGATCTGGTACTACATGTGCCTCCTAGTCCGCCTGTCTGTTTTTGCATTTTAGAATATTTTTATTTTCAAACATTTTTTCTCTCCCACCCCACCCACCCCTTTACTGCAAGGCCTCTCTACTCCCAAAAAACCGAGCAAGTTACACTGGGGAAATGACTACTACACACAAAACACTGTTAATTGCACTAAGTAACCAAGTTGAAAAAAAACAACAAGAAAAAGCATCGTTTTCAATCTCAGTAACATTCTAAGATGTTAAAAGTTTAGACAGAGAGGTCTCTAAGTTATGTCCCATTAATATTTATATTCAAGGTTTAATATCATCTAAATGTTTTTATAAAGGAAAAACCTGGCAGACTTTAAAATATAACCTTACGAATGTTCCACTTCTGTGTAATGCAGTAAGAATGGAATGCAGAAGTAAAGAAAACACACGTAAATAAAAAATATTACTTACCACTTTCAGCTCTGGTACAGATCGACTTAGTGTCCACTCCTGGCTATTTACAAAAGCATCTGTCAAAACAAAACAAAACATATATATATTTAGAAAGGTACACTATTAGTTTAGTAAAGCTGTATTTTTTATTCCCGCTGAAGCAGCCAAAAAAGCATCTAGGCCTTCAAATAATGGAAAAACCAGAAGCCTCATTCAAACCTCAGTAATTTATGTATGCTTCCATCATTGAGGTTCAGATATTACAGTATTTATGTATTGACAATGCAGAAGGCACAGCCATAGCTAATTTTATCATGTGATCCCAACGCGGATTTATATTGCAGTTAGAATTTTAATTCAATCCTTGCAGGTTATGGAAAAACTCTTCTCCTCTCCCTTGTTTCGCCAAAGCTGGGAGTTACCAGGTCAAAAGGGATACAAACAGTTAAAAGGTGACACGATTCTCATGAAGGGGAGTGATAAAACAACTGGGCAAGACTGAAAGACACTCCCCAAAGCAGGAAGAGAATGCGTAAAGGGAAGAGAAAGAGGCTTTGAGGAGGAGTCTATAGCAAGTTAAACCAACTAGGGATCCCAAGAAGAAGGTGAATAGACACCTAGTAAACTAGACACGCATATACTCAGTATATTAGTACAAAAGCATTTAAGACCAACAGATCTTAAACAAAAACATTGCTTTAAGAACGCTGACTAGTAACTGGTTAGCACTTGCACATCTAGAGGGAACAATATTACAGGGTCTGGACATAAATCAGAGCTGCTGTGGTAATAATGTTTTATACACAGGGCCAGACCTGAGAGCAGGGGATCATGCGATTCCACCCTGAGAGCTGAAGCGAGAGGCCCAAGGCTTGGGGGGTTGGCTCAGAGACCCCAAGAGGGGTCAGAGGGGCACTTTAGTAACTGTGACAAGTATCACAAGTGCTTTCTATGTAAAGTTTAGGGCTTAAATAAAATAAAATAAATTAATCTCTCACAAACATATGGCATCAGCAAGTTCTGGTTCTACAGAGCAATTCACACAAACTTTTTCAGAGAAACTGTCCTCTTCGTAGACAACACTGCTTGACTAAAAACTAGAGAGATATAGGTCTTTCTTCACAGCCAACTTGAAAATGTCAAACACGACACCCTAAACTCAGTATACACTAAGTCATAAACCTCTAGTTCTGTTGTGGAGAAACATTTACATTTAAGCAAGTGTTCAGTATCTCTCTTCTCTCGGTAAAGTTTATTTAACTTACTGGAGAAGAAATTAGTCTCAGGCACTGAAGTCCAAGTAGTAGTGCCCTAAATTACTGCACCATAAAAAATTACGACTTCATAAAAAACACAATTTATGGAAATGCTTTACAAACCCCATCTGTGTTCCCTACAAGCTAAGCATGAATTACATGCAAACTTCTCCAGTGACTTTTATGAATCATGGGAGAAATCCCAGAGCCTTCACTATCTTAATGTTTCATTACTCTTATCACATTTCCCCCTCACCAGCCCTCAAAGAAAAATGTAGTTATTTAATACACAATTGGGTATCACTCATTGATTTGGAAGCATTTTCTCTCTCCTTTTTATACTCAGTCCACATAAAACGGTTACCTACCTTTCGCAACTGTTGTTCTTCAAGATGTGTTGCTCATGTCCATTCCAATTAGGTGTGTGCGCCGCATGCACAGTAGCCGGCAGGTTTTTCGCCTAGCGATAGCCATCGGTTCAGGCACACCCTGAAATGGCGCCTCTGTGGTGCCGTGTATATGGTCCTGCCGACCCACCACCTCTCCAGGTCCTTCTTACCAGCATTGCTCCGACAGAGGGGGTCTTGGAATGGACATGAGCAATACATCCCGACGAACGTCCAAAGTGTGGAATTTTTTCTCCCGGCTGTTTGCAAGTGGCTTAGAGTAAAAAAACTGGAAGAAAAATGTCCTGCTGAAGCAAGAGGAACGAGCGTTCCGGCTAACTGTCACAGGCGATAAGAAGGAACTGAAGAGGCGGCGGGTTGGCAGTACCCTATATACTGCGCCCCGAGGCGCCACCTGAACCGACCCAACAGGTACTGCTAGGGGGAAATCCTTCCAGCGACTGTGCATGCAGCGTGCACACACCTCACTGGAATCGACATGAGCGAGCACTCGAAGAAGAATTTTACATTTCAATTCTGCCTTTGAATTCAGATAGTTGTGTTGGTGGGACTGGCCACACCATTTGAGAAATGGCTCCCAAATGTGCAAGTACACAAAACATTCATATCCAAGTATTGTACAGTTCCAGTTCTGTGAAGGTCACGACACCCAAATTCTCCTGATAGGTGTGTGGGGGGGGTTTCTTCAGATGGCAGCCCAGCAGGCTTTGAAATCTTCTGGATTAATTCTACTTATTTAGGTCTCTAAGGCCAGCTATACCTGCTGTTTTTAGGAGTTCTATAGCATCAGAACTCTCACCCAGTCATGGAGGACATACTGAACAGGATCCCTGTTCAAAGATCAGAAAGTCCAACAGTGGACCAAACTTCAAACTGTTTAGCAATATCTATAGCAGAATTTAGGTTGAATATTCTGTTATCCTTATTGTTAGAGGAGAAATTGCTATGATTAATTTTAGCAATATTATTTGAGCACAGCCACTGATCTCAACCACGCGCAATACATAGAAGTTACAGTCTTTGCCCATGGAAGCTGGAGATCTAGACTGAACACATTGCCAGTCAGTCAGGATGCGAGCCTCCTTGGGAAAGAGATGAAGGTCTGACCTCAAAGCACTGCATAAAGATTTGGCGCTTTTGTGTTTCTGGGGGAACGGGGGGCAAAGTGCGGTAGGTTATGTAATATATGTACATAGCAGTACATGTACTGACACTATTGTTGCAAATGTAATTTTCTCAGCTAATTTACGTTTGCGTGTAAAGGACATTTTTTCTAGAACATACATGTTCGTTATGCAACAAGGAAAACCAAGTAAACCAAGAGGAAAAGTAACTAAACATTTTCGAAAGCTTAAATGTTACACAAAATATAGTTCTCCATGAGCAACACTGACTTAAACTGCTTCTGTGCAATGATACAATGCTATAGCTCAGTGAATAATGAATAGAAATCTTTAGTTGTACCAGATACAGACTAAGAATTAGCTCTTTAATTTACAATAGTCATTGGAAGAGACTTTGACAATTATTAGGAGGCAGTGTTGCCAAGTGGATGGTACACAGGAATGGGACTTAGGAGACCTGGAGTCTATTCCCAGCTTTGCTATTGGCCTGCTGGTGAGCTTGGGGAAGCCACAGCCCCTCTGTGTGCCTCAGTTTTCCTATCTGTAAAATGGAGATAATGATCTGGGCCTCTTTTGTAAAGTACTCATATCTACTAACAACAAGTGCTATGTTAGAGCTAGGTATTATTATGACCATGTAGTTAGTCTAAACAGATCATCTAAGTAAAGAACAGGGAAACAGCACAAAGATGATGACTCCAGTGACGTGTCAAAGGTACCAATGAGAGTGGTTTCACATTTTGCATGGGAAAGGGAGAGGGAGAGTAACAGGATGGCAACATGTGACAGGCCTGTAGGCAAACATACCCAGCTAGCCTGTGATTAATTTCACTGGTTCAGCTAGCCAGGGTCACAGCCTAGTGACTACACTTGTTGTGGATTTGGCTGCAGTGGACGGAGGGCAGAAATGTTATGACTCCAACCTCTCTCAAACTGCTAATTTCAAAACCAGAGGTCAGTTAGACCAAACAGTCACCAAAAAAAATTGCATATTTCCACAGATGCCTCCAGTCTCTCTACAGGTCTAGAATTTCCAGTGCAAATATTCAAAATCATGTTTTTGCAACATTTAATATATTCTTTATTTGCACCTCAACACTGACATAATTCCAAGTTTGGCCAGCCTTGGACACCTTTTAAAGTTAATTTCATTTCTGTGTACACTCTAACAGACTAGTTTTGAACTTTCACTGCTTCATGGTGACTAACATTATGAAAACCTGCACATAACCCTGACTTTTCTTAATTCATGTCAACCAAAAATGTCTAGGTAAGTGCTTCTTTCCTTCCCCCTTTCAATTAAAGATATGCCATTTTAAAAAATTATCAAAAAGTCAACACTTTTCTCCACAAGATGCTTAGAAAGTTAGCTTTAAAAGTATATGTGAATCTCAGCAGATAGAAAGCTCAAACAAGAGCAATAACGTTAGAACAATGGTCAAGATTACAATAAAAAGCAAAATCAAACCAAATAAACTAGGAAATGAAAAGTAGCAATCTCACCTGCAACTGAATCAGACCCCCGCAAAAATGCTTTACTTTTCACAGCCGATAAAAGCTATTGTAAACGACAGACAAGCAAATTGTAAAATATGCCATTTAAGAAAACCAAATGCTAAGCTATTTATGTCATTCTATATTAATGTAAGGTTTCAAGAATTAATAATTCTACTGATTTAACCTACTCTGCAATTATTATAGCTATAGGTTTGATCTACTGTATTAATAATGTCAAAAGCAAAACTGTAAAAAGCTACTACTTATGTTTTGGCTAGAAGAGTCCTGAATGGCCAGTGTAAAGCCTTGAGAATCTGCCTCCTTTACAAAACTCAAGCCAAAGGGTCCAGTTTGCAGCCACCTAAGGACGGCTAGATGCAAGTCCTTTAATAAACCACAAGGATGTCTATTGCTAATTCAATGCGAGTATCCTCAAAGTTCAACCGATGTGTCATAAAAGACAACGCAGTATTAAGTATTAGACTACTAAGCAGGCTCAAGTGATTTGTGTAGCTGAGTAACTATTTTCTGCTACTGTGATGTTTTCAAAGTGGCATATTCAATCACCACAAAATAAAAAACAAGAAAGATTAAGTCCCTTCTTTCCTCTGCAATCATGTGGAGTATTATCCCTTGTCCCAGCCATATATTCTTATAAATGTGGGGGTTAGGGGTGGGAAGACACAAAATAAACCAGTATTTCCCTAAATGGGGGAATACACCTTTTGAGGGGGCAGGAAGAATTAGCCACTCCAGAGTGGCACAAACAGGCTTCAGCAGTTCTCCAGACTCT